TTAATTATCTGTAAACATGGTTGACTTTTACTATTGGTTGACCGAAAAATGTTAACTTTGCAAAACAAATTGGGACGGAGGGAGTATTATTTTGTAAGTATAATTTTCATCCCCGTTTCATGTGAAGTTATGGGGATGATGAAGAATCATATGGCCTTAGAATATTTTGCATGCTCTAAATACATGATATTAGTATTCGGTAAATACATGTTAAGTTATACATGATGAATATTTTTGTATGTTCTTTATCTTATAACTATTATTATGTAAATACTTGATATTAGTTACGTTCTAACAGGAAAGAGTAAAGGGTGAAACTTTAATTAGCAAAATTAGTGACTAACTAAGATAAAACCTGGAATTATAAACTGAATCAAGTACTACGTAAAATGGCTTAAGCTAGCTTAGATAATTAAACATAATAAACTTGTTTTTATCTATTACTTCGTATGTGATAAATAGATTGCTAAATATACATAATATATAATTTAACTTAAAAACTGGTTAAGTAGTGTTCTTAAATTACGATACATATATGTATTTATACTCTCTGTAAAGGTTAGAAACATAACTAAATACATATATGTATAAGTTACAGTACGAATTACTACTATTAAAATAGGGTCGTCAGTGGTAGTATTAGTTTCATGCATTATGATCGATAAGTAAGATATAATTAGCATTTATTAACTAAAATATATAAATGTATATGATGTGATATGAGTATAGATAGCTAGATACGTATAGAGGGATGATATAACTCCAGACACTAATTCCATTATCTGTGAAGAAAACTTAAGTACATATGAATACATGAATGTTCAGTTGGTCACTTGTTTGCTTAAATTATACTTGTTATGTTATCCAATAGGTAGTAGTTTAATATTTGCCTGAGTTATTAGGAGAAAAAAAAAGATAAGTTAGATATAGCTATGTATATATGTATTACGTGATGCTTGTTTCAATTCATGATATGAATATTTATTAATAATGTTTCACACGATTTTGAATCAATTTTAATAAACCATAATTTTTTTCCAGTTAATTTACTTTTAACGTTTTATATTAATTCGTATAAGTTAATGAATGAGGTAGTAAAATAAATTAAGAATAATTTCGAGTGTTAAGTAAAAAGATTGATTGACCAAACATAAAGGAGTTCACATCATTAATCTGGTTATTTGTTTATAAATGAACTTAAAAGATTAAGATTTACTACGCCTTGCTCTTGACCTGACACTCTGACACGAATACTCCTGATCTGTCTGTTTAGTGTACTATGTACACTCCTGAAACTCTGTCTTAGAGGAATTAGAGTTCTCCTGTTTAGTGTACTATGTACACTCCTGAAATCTTTTTAGAGCACTATTACTCTTCTGTTAAGGTACGTGTAGCTCCGTCGATTACGTTTCCATATCCTTTCTGGGTAATGTGGGTATGGACTTTATGTTCATATTCCTTACCATTAGTATTCCTCTGTCTAGGTCCAGTTTCTTGAGTACAAGGCTTAAATGAATTTTTTTAATAATATACCTCCGAATAAGAATTATTTGATAATTATGACATCTGAATATGCTTCTGATCTGTATATGAATATTTTGATTCTCATGACAGTTATTCGGCTCACTCAGGTATGTCATATGTTTGTTTGACTAAATGCTAATTATGTTATGTTGCTTTATGTGATTATTATTGTTATGATTATTGTTATCAGTATTTGTACCGTACCACTCAGCACATTGCTGAGCGGGTAGTTGTTTGTTTTTCCTACCCGTAGGTTGAAGTACATTCAGCTAAGATAAGGATGCTGGGATGGAAGGAGGCATATGATTCATGTGCATATCATGTGTGTATTGTTTATAAATACACAAATAAGAAGCAAGTTTGACTTTAAGCTTATCTGATCATTTTTGTTTTGTAAATGCTTCCGCATATCATAAAAATATTTTGTGCTTTATAATATTAAGTGATTTATGACGACTTGATATTTCAGGTATCGAAAAATAAGTTGACGTTTGAATAACGATGATTTAATTAAATACTTAATTTTGTTTTAAATAATTAAAAGTCTTTTGATTAAATCCGTTTTGACTCCTGCCTCGTGACACACCGCTCAGGTTGGCGGGGCCGGTTCGGGTAGGGTGTTACATCACATATCCTAGATCTCCTAAACCCCCTCCCCACCCCCACATAATGTGAGGGTGAAAGGAGGTTTTTATTCGATCTATTCTATGTCAAAATAACCAAGTATAATACTTGGCCCATCAAGAGGTTCAAATATACATCAGTGCCGCACATGCACGCACACAGATCAGAGGCTAAAATTCTAAACAAATTACAAAGGTGTTGCAAGATGCACACACCCTAAAGTCCAAGACCATGCTTCATGCCGCATCATCCATGATGTTCATGCCCCGGTGTCCCGAGTGCCCAAGCCGCGGCATCCAAGATATCCATGCCTCGACGCACCAACCAGTCATGTAGCAATCTGTCCATACCGCGGCATCCATAATATCCATGTCGCGGCCTTCTAGTAAAAAAACGATCAAACCCTGTGGGTAGATACTAAAGAGTATCCGATATACTACAGTCTTGATTTTGGCAACAATGTCCTCCTCCATCTTCATTACTTCATCAAACCTTGCCGCGTTCCTTGCGTGCCAGATGTAGTAGACTGCGGCTAGGGGTGTGCACCGGTCCAAAACCGGACCGTACCGAACCGGAACCGGTTAGGACCGGAACCGGAATCATCATTTTCTTTGGACCGAAGACCGAACCTGAATCTAACCGGTCCGGACCGGTCCGGACCTGAATCTAACCGGTCCGGACTGGTCCGGACCTGAATTTTCCGGTCCGGTCCGGTTTTGACCCTAATTGACCCGGTTTTAAAAAATAAATATTATCTTAGAGTGTTCTTAGTTGGTCCCAAATTTTTTTAGGAATAAGGCTTGGATGTTGTTGTTCTAAATTATAATTTTATGTGCGGATATGCTAAATAGACTAAATAATTGTTTATCTAGCTCATTTATTAATTTTGGAATATAGTTATCAAAACTATTCAATCGTAACAATTAGTTTCCCAAAGTAATTAAAACTACAATCTTTTGTGTATATTAAAATGCAAAATCTATTATAAAGTAATAAAAACTAAATTAAGTCCAAAAATATACTACGTATAAACTACATGTGCACCTGCAAATAAAGAAACAAATAAAAAGCAGAAAAATCACATAAATAAATAAATAAATAACAACTTAGGAAATAATTAGACACCAAATATAAACTCCGTATATATTTGTTTATATAATAAAAGACAAAAATAAGTCATAAACATAATGACTAATGATACAAAACCAAGTATATATTTTACGGGAAAATAGTTTACCGGTCCATTCCGGTCCGGACCTGTTTTTTCCGGGTTTGACCCGGACCGGACCGGAACCCGGAATCTTACCAAACTAAGGACCGAAACCCGGACCGGTTTATACCGGTCCGGTCCGGACCGGTCCATTCCGGTCCGGTTCAGGTCTAAAATACGGTCTGACCCGGTTAATGCACATCCCTAACTGCGGCACAGAATGCCAGTCTAGCTGCTTTGGCCTTCACCTTCAAACCTTTGTGCGTCTTTATTATCCATTTGACCGAGCTGAGTAGCGTGGTCATTTGGTGACTAAATCCCATCCATTCCCTGATCCTTTGCCATATCCTACATGTAAAAGGACATTGAAAAAAAGGTGTGGTATTGTTTCCAAACCACTCTTGCACAAGTCACATCTATTTACTATATGCAGATAACAGAGGCTGTCCTGAGTAGGAAGCCGGTTTCGTAAAGCCAATCACATATTGAAGGAAAATTTAAAGGGGATGTAGGACTTCCAAATGAAGCTCATCATAGTCCTAGTCTCACCCTTTACCCTTAGCAACTCATACACCTTGCCCGAGATTATTTTTCCATTTATGGCCCTCGAATTGAGGCCCAGATAGTGTCGTTCAAATTATTAAAACATCCTCTCAATTTGTCCCGGCGAGACTCATACGCTTCATGAGCTGAGAGTCTCGGCTGTGTGGGATAAAATCTCACACACTTCTACCCTTAAGATAGACACCGTTAACCCACTTTACCCATAAGCTATCATTTTTATTATGTACGTCCCAAATAACACGTGAGAGGAGAGCGTGATTCCAGATTTTAGCATTATGGATCCCTAGCCCACCTTCCGCTTTTGGTAAGCAAATATCATCCCACGCAACTTTCACGAACTTTCCACCCCACAAAAAGATCCTACAAATGGACACAATCCTATCCAAAATCATTTGGGGAACCGGAAAGACTTGGAGCCAAAACGATTGGACCCCTTGGATCACCGATCGAATTAGCTCAATCTTCCCGACATAGGATATTGTCTTTGTGTTTTAAGTGTTAAGGAAGTCTTGAATCATAGCAATTAATGGTGCATATTGTGAAACCGAGACTTTTAAAGGGGCAAGGGGAATTCCAAGGTATCTAACCGGGAACGTACCTTGCCCACAGGCTACAATGTCAAGGATATTTTGCAATTCCAAGTCCCTCACCCACGAACGAAGATGTTGGATTTGTCATGGTTTACTCTTAGCCCAGATACGTCTCCAAACTCTTTGAGAGCATTGACTAATATTCATATAGAATATGTATCATCTCTCGAGAAGAGCATTAGATCATCCGCATAGGCTAGATGTGTAATACCAAGGGACGAACATTGGGGGTGGAAATTAAAACTCCCTTCTTTGGTTCTCACAATGAGTAATCGGGAGAAATACTCAAGGCATAGTATGAAAAGCAGAGGGGGCATTGCATCCCCTTGTTGTATGCCACACTTACCGTTAAAAAAACCATACAAAGAACCATTCAGGGAGACCGAATAAGATGGAGTGGATACACACTCCATGATCCAGCCTATAAATGTAGTCGGGAAGCCCAAACCAACCAAGACTTTTCGGAGGAAATCCCAAGATATGGTATCATAGGCCTTTCGCAGATCCACCATAATCATACATCGTGGTGAAATCCGCTTCCTGTTGTATCCTCTAACAAGTTCCTAGGCAAGGAAAATGTTATCAAACATCAGGCGGCCATCCACAAACGCTCCCTGTGTTTGATTAACCAACCCCGAAAGGCAAGGGGTCATTCTAGCCGCAATAATTTTGCTAATAACCTTGTACAAAACATTCGTACAAGAAATGGGTCGATAGTCCGAGGCTTTTGGGGAGTGACTAGTCTTAGGGATAAGTGCTATCACAATATGGTTAATCTATTTAAGCATTTTTCCCGTTCGAAAAAACTCCTTAATAACCCGCACCATGTCCTTCTCAACAATGCTCCAGTTGGCTTTAAAGAAAGCCGAGGAGAACCCATCAGGTCCCAAGGCCTTATCATCCCCGATATCGAACAAGGCATCTTTAATTTCCTTATCTGTTATCGGAGCAAGAAGGCCATCATGAGCAGCTGGCTCAATCAGAGGACCAATACTTAAAACCGAGTGGTCCAGGTCAAGGGTATCCACATGAGATCCAAACAAATCAACAAAGAAATTTACAAATACATCACCAACATCATCTAAAGACTTAGTAAGACTGACGTCTTCCCGCATGATCGAGGATATATATATATAGCATTCTGGGTCGCATTCCGCTACTTTGATCTTGTTGCTCGACGATGTGAGAGGTCTCCAATTGAGTCAATAGCTTGATGTCATTTTGAAACAGAAGGCTACCTATAGAGATGTAACATTCATTAATGCATTATCCGAGTGACCTATATATATAAATCCATATCTAACATTAGCAGTTCTGCATTTTGTTGAACCATTTTCATGTTGACCAGTTCATATTTCCTTGTCGGATTAATGGTTCTTGAGATACATGTAAAGAACCGGATCCATTCTTACCCTCGTGTATTAAAATAGAGTGATATGACAAAAGCCCCGAAAAAATTGATATTAAATCGAATGATAGTCGATTTTCCTAATTCCTTTTCTCATGATTACATACTACTCCGTAATATAAATTTTTTTTCGAGAGTATGCAAGGGGTTACAAAAGTTGTACTACTTTTACTGGGTAAATTGCACCAAATCCCTCTCTGTTATACAATACATGCACATTATCCCCTTGTGTTTTTTAAAATACACAAAACCCATTTATGTTTTAGGGAAAAGGTGCAAATAGGCCCATGTACTAACAAAAAAAGGTCAAATAAGCCCTTGTTTAGGAGGCTCTGTCCGGCCGTCGCGATTTGGGGTGGTTCCCGGTGGAAGTTTTTGATAGAAATTTTTTTAGCATCTTATTCATCAAGTCTAGTTACTCATACCAAATTTCAGCTAAAACTTCAATCGGGAAGACATTCAAATGAATTGTTGAAGATAACTGCGCTTCTAACTGCACAGTTATTTTCAAGAATTCATTTGAATGCCTTCCCGATTGAAGTTTTAGCTGAAATTTGGTATGAGTAAACTAGACTTGATAAATAAAATGCTCAAAAAATTTCATCAAAGAGTTCCACCGGGAACCACCCGAAATGAAGACGGCCGGACGGAGACTCCTAAATAAGGGTTTATTTGACCTTTTTTGGTTAGTACATGGGCCTATTTGCACCTTATCCCTATGTTTTATAAAAACTTGCATATAATCTCTTGAAATGAAGAGTTTGATGCACGTGTGATACACTTGCTTTTGGTGCGACTTGTTGCATAGTTTTACCTTCTTGGGCTAGGTAAATGTCAATTTTATCCATTTTGTATGAAATGGACAACTTTCCACTATTCATATTCAGTTCATCTTATTTAAAAGCTACATAACATAAATTTGTTCTCTCTTGTATATCCACCTTTTGAGTAGTGGTATACGAATTTTTTTCTGTATGCTTTATTAAAATATAAAGTTCAATTGCCAAAATAAATCATACACTACAAAAAAACAACGATTTTGGCACGGATTTGACACAGAGCTTTGGCACGGATTTGTCAAAATTCGTAGGGTAGTTAGCACGGATTTGACACGGATGTGTTAAATCCGTACCCAATTCCGTGCCAAAGTCGTTTTGTCACCAGCTATTTGGCACGACGCTGTGCCAAAAATAAGTTACAGTTCGTGCCAAACTCGCTCAATCCGTGCCAAGTCCGTGCCTATTACGATGTTTTTTTGTAGTGATATTTCAATTTGTGTTGCTCATTTTTTTCCCGTATCCTAAATCATTTTTCAAAAATGATTTATGAGTTTGACTTAACTAACATAAGCTAATCCTTCCCTCACATATTTTTACATTAGGATATAGCAAACAAAATATTTATATCTTAAAATAATTTTAAACATTCTATTGACCAATTATTTTAACTAATATATTTATGTAAAATTTAATAATTGTATACTTTTATGATGGTAGTTTTAACAACAAAGATCATTTTCATATTATCAATATTTCTATATATTAATATTTAATCGGTCAAAGTTGAACACCATTGACTTGAAAAGTCAAGTTTGGCTAACTAAAATGGGACGGAAGGAGTGTATCATATTGAATATCAGTATATCTCATCTTAATCCATATCAAAGTAACTCTATTGGGGCATGCCCCGACCGTTACACAAGTCAATATATAATCTGTTGCATGTGGATACACGGCCTCAACCAATATAAACCAACTTGGAATATATAAAAGTGTTACTAAAACATAATCATAAATTGTAATTACAAGCAAAGAATCATAAAATTAACCACATATACAACCCAAATCAGATAAATGAGCTAGAAGCCGTACCCAAAATTAATATGGCACATAAGTAGTTAGACTCCGGATTTAAGAGCACGTTTGGTGAGCCTGTTTTCGGCTTATTAGGCTTTGATGGATAGTCTACCCGGGGGTATCTTATCCGAGGGGTTATTGCGGGAATAACTAGAGAGAAGTCAGTGCAAATAGGAGGAGAGAGAGTCGATTGTATTAAATGAACTCGAGATGTTCTGATCTGGGATCCTTTACAATGGGGAAATGGGGTGCTATTTATAGTAGCAATAAATGCAATGAGAGTACACGTGGCGATAATCCGACGGCCGAGGGGTCACCGCATTGAATGCGGTGGGTGGATGTGATGTTGCATTAAATGCGGTGGTTGCTTGTCTCCAAAGGGAATCTTTTCACTGATTGAGTTGTTGGCCGAGGGCTCCCCCTGCGGCCGAGGGCCTGTGTAGCCGAAGGCATGAGAGTGCCGAAGGCTTCCCTGATGCCGAAGGGTAGCGAGTGTTTGGCCGAAGGCTACTGGTAGCCGAGGGCTACTGTTTCACGCCGTTTTCTCCCAGCAGCTTCGTATGCTCGAATCTCGTATTTTGGAGCCGGAGGCTGAAGGCACCACAGTGTGTATTTTGGGCTTCTTTGAGACTTGGGCCGCTGTATTTGGGCTTTGAATGTTCCCTGGGGCTCAATGGGCCTGTGTAGGAGAAGTAGGAGTCTATGGGCCGAGGGTTCCTGGACCATATACTCCATCAGGCTTATCAATCAATTTTTTCACCAAACACGTCACTTTTGATTCCGCGCGCTCAATTGTGTAATAACAATAATAAAAAGTAAGGTTGAGTCACTTTTCTGGCGGTATTGGGTGAAGTTACTGTAGAGGACCATTTTAGCAATTTTTATATAATTTTCACTTTATTTTTATTTATAAAATATATTTTATATATAAGTTTTTCATAAATCAACCGAATCGGCTAATACAACCACTTCAGCCAAAACTTCATAAATATCAGCAGAAGCCGATTTCAATGTTATCAAATGGGCTCTAAATCATTGCATAAACACACCCGTAAATATTTGCAAGTATTGGAATAGGCAAGCTTCTATGTCTTTACCTTCCCACAAATTGAATAGCGTATGGGGTTAAGAACATGGAATTTGACTAAGTTCTAATCATGGTGTAACCAGCTGTTATATCATAATAAAAGGGGTATAAGTAGAAATTCACAAAATAGAAACAATTGTTATATTTTTATCTTGGGAATGTGAGCATGATTTATCAAAACATTAAGGGTTTTCATGTCTTTTTAAAAACACAGGGGGATTGTGTGCATGATTTATATTACAGAGGGGGATTTGGTGCAATTTACCCTACTTTTACTATTAGTGGAATTTCCAACACTTTGTCTCTCTCTCAAAAATTTCAGTGCTACTTATCTCTATCCGAATTAGCCTGATGCATGAGTCTGCCCTAATCAAGATATATAATTTTGATTAGAATTATAAAATGGTGCTATCATGAAACAGTTAAATATATTAAAGTCATCAACACAGTAGTTACAGCGTTGATTAAAAGAAAATTTGATAGAGAAAACTAGTGCAAATGAATCAAATCAAATATTCAAATTAAACAGCCATATGAATGTAGTGAAATGGCTTGCAAGACGATATTTGGATATATTGGAAAACACAGTGATTGGTAAACCCCAGGTTGGATTCATTATGGGTGCAATTCCCCCAGGCTCTCTCTATTCATTTATAATCTTGATTTGGATGTCCCCATGGCTTTAGCCATCTCTCTCAGCACAAACTTTTGAACCTTTCCCGTAGACGTCTTAGGAAGATCATCCTGAAACACCACCGTTTTTGGGACCATGTAATGTGGCATCCTTTCTCTGCAGAAAGAGATGATTTCTCTCTCCGTCGGCTTCTTCTTCACCGCCGCTTTGAGGCTCAAAAAAGCACAAGGCGTCTCGCCCCAAAACGCATCGGGCCGAGCCACCACCGCTGCCTCGTTCACTGTCGGGTGCGAATACAACACCGACTCCACCTCCACGCTGCTCAGATTCTCGCCCCCACTTATGATCACGTCCTTCGATCGGTCTTTGATTTCCAAATACCCATCGAAGTGCATCACCCCGACGTCCCCCGTGTAGAACCACCCGTCCCGTTTCAAACATTTGGAGGTACCCTCGGGGTCTTTGAGGTAGCCGAGCATGATAGCGCCACCTCGGAACACAACTTCCCCGAGGGTCTTCCCGTCCCGCCTAACGCTATTGCCGGAGGTCGGGTCCACTACATCTACTTCGGTCATTCCGATGGTCCTCACCCCTTGTCTTGCTTTTAGCTTTGCTCTTTCTTCCCCTGGAAAGTTGTTCCATTTCTTCTTCCACGTGCAAGAGACAACCAAGCCCCCGGTTTCTGTCAGCCCGTACCCATGGCTGACAATGAAACCGAGGGACTCGGTTCTCAAAAGCACGGCCGCCGGAGGTGGCGCTCCGGCGGTCATGATGTGAACGGGACGGGACAACGGGTTTTTCTCAGGTGAATTGGATAGCATGTTGAGCACCACCGGAGCGCCGCACATGTGCGTCACGTTGTGCTTACGGATTGCGGTGTAAATCGTGGCGGCATCGAATTTCCGTAGGCAGACGTTGGTGGCACCCACGGCCGCCATCCCCCACGTGTAGCTCCAGCCGTTGGCGTGGAACATGGCCAGCGTCCAGAGGTACACCGGCTCTTTCGGCACCTCCCACTGGTTCAGCGAGTCAACCGCCATGATGAAAGCTCCCCGGTGACAATGAACCACCCCCTTCGGAGCCGACGTGGTGCCGGAGGTGTAATTTAGAACGATTGGATCCCATTCACTCTGGGGTCGAACCCAATTGAATCCCGGATCCCCTGTTTCGATCATACCCTCATAAGTATCCACAAATTCTTCCCGGCGGCCAATCGCCGGAAACTCGGGGTCCGTGATGAGGACCAACAGAGGGCGCGGCGATTCCGCCGGAAACAGGGACAGAGCTTCGAGGAGGAGAGCAACGGAGAGGCAGTCAACGAAGACCAGCTTTGACTCACAGTGGCGGAGGAGGACGGAAACCGTCCGTGCGTCCAGGCGGAGATTGACGGAGTTGAGGACGGCTCCGGCCATGGGGACAGCGAAGTTGAGCTCGTACATTGCGGGGATATTGGGTGCGAGAACAGAGACGACCTGACCTCTCTGAACCCCGAGGGCGGCGATGGAGGAGGCGAGGCGGAGACAGCGGAGGTGGGTGGCGGACCAGGTGTAGGAGGTGTCGTTGTAGACGACGGAGGTGGCGTCGCCGTAGATAGTAGCGGTTCTGTCCAAGAAGGTGAGAGGCGTGAGTGGGCATGAGTTTGCTTGACTTGGTTTGAGTTGATCCATTTGGTGGCCCTTCTTTTTTCCTCTGTGTAAATGATGGTTGCCTAATACTTGTTCTTATCCTCTAATATATACTCCAATAATTATCTCCAAATAGAAAGAGGCCCTAAGATTGGATAGAAGTGAGAAAAGGCAAAACCAATCAAATGATGTTTTATCAATGGACGGCATCGTGTCTTTTTAAACGTTTCACTAGTACCCCTCGTCCCTAATTTTTTTCCATAATACAAATAGCACCACAATTAAGATGATGGGTATTATGTGATTGAGAATTTTCAAGAAGAATAAGAGCCCGTTTGGAGAACTCTGTTTTCGGCTTATCAGGCTTATCAGCCAGCTTTTTCACCAAACACGTAACTTTTACTTTCGCGCGCTGAATTGTGTAATAAGCCGAAAAAGTAAGGTTGGAGTTACTTTTCTGGCTGTATTGGCTGAAGTTACTGTAGAGGACCATTTTAGCTATTTTTACATATAATTTTTTCTTTAATTTATTAATAAAATATATTTTTAAAATATTTTTTTCTTAAATCAGCAGAATCAACCAAAACAGCCACTCCAGCCAGAATATCATAAATTTCAGCAGAATCAGCCAAAACAGCCGATTTTGGTGCTACCAAACGGGCTCTAAGAAACGTGTAATAATGTGTAGGAATTGTTGTGTGCTTTAAAGTTTTTATCGAAAAGATAAAGTGAAATTTGATATTGGGATGTCCAAAAAAAGAAAATTGGAAGTTTTTTCAAGGACGAAAGAAATACAATTTATTAGTTGTTATCCAAAAGGTTGAATCTCCAACTCCAAAAGTCCCCACCCTCTGACATAGCATTTGAGAGAATGTAAATCACGGTGAATCAATCAATTCTAAAGATGATAGATCATATACTCGTGCGTACCAAAGGTCCAATCTAGCACACATGAGTTATGATATTCACACGACCGTTCTGAATTTCGATCCTTAACTATTGTTCAACTTTCCCACCGCTTTACCCGCAACTCATACTCTCCAGGGGCGGATCTACCTTCAAAGGAGTGGGGGCACATGCCCCCAACAACATTTTCATAATTGATTAGGAGCATACATTAATAAATACATATTCCTTTGTAAAAAAACAATTTGCCCCCAATAAATTATTTTGCTTGCCCCCAATTAAAGATAGTTCCTACATAAAAGATAGAACATACATATGATTTAGAAAACAAATTCATTACTAGATTCGAACTTAAAAATTCTTGATTAAGTCAAATTAATTTAATACTTCGTATTTATCAATTAATTCACTGTTCCTTAAAAAGTGAAATGCTAGTTAGTTAGTTTTTTTTTTGAAAACGAAATGCTAGTTAGTTAGATCCTAAAGTGTGTGAATATTTTTGTTTTGGATGTGCTTTCTAACCTATTATAATATGATAGGTATGTTCTATCTTAAGACCAGCACATTTGAACTAAAATGAAATTCAAACATGTGCCTTCTTCCATGAGTGTCAAATTGATGTCTTTAGGCTAAAAGATACTTGATAAAGCGAGTGGACTACTAAAACATAGTTATAATTGATGATTTAATAAGTAGGTTATTAGGCGATGATGTAAATCACCTAGGTTAACAAGACGTAAGATATCGGAGTCTATTCAAATCTAAAAGCCCGTTTGGTAACACTGAAATCGGATGAATCGGCTGTTTCTGTTGATATTTATGAAGTTTTGGCTGAAGTGGCTGTATTGTCTGATTCTGCAAATTTATGAAAAAATTATATACGGAGTATATAATATGTTTTATTAATAAAATAAAGAAAAAAATTATATTAAAAAATATTTAAAATGGTTCTTTACAGTAACTTCAGCCAATACAGCCAGAAAAGTAATTATAACCTTACTTTTCTTATTATTACACAATTCAGCACACGATATAAAAAGTTACTTGTTTGGTGAAAAAGTTGTCTGATAAACCTGATAAGCCGAAAAACAGGCTCACCAAATGGGCTCTAAATAGTTCATTCAGTTTTGTTGAGAATCTTGAAGAATATAAAAATAAAATAACATGGTCAATCATCACATTGAGTATATGATTTTTGTATAAAATTATAATCTCTAATTTAAATCGCCCCCAATAACAAATTTTTCTGGATCCGCCACTGATACTCTCATACGGGTCCAATAAAGTGTCATACGGGTTAGCACAAATGGTCTAAAGAAACACGCGGTGGTTTACGGCATAACTAATTTCCTTTCATTATACGTGGTATTTTACTCCGTAGTTGATAGCTTTTGTACGGAGTGGATTTTTTTGGATATACTTTTGTACGGAGTAGTTATAACTTATAAGCCGCTCAAACGCAAATCTAACAGGGAGTTGTTTTTTTACTGTACAGGGAGTAGTTAATTCACTTAATTGTTTATTTTCATTTTGTTTTCTAAAAAATATCGACAACATTATTTGATTTTTTTTATGAAAAAAATGAGGAGGTGGGGGTGGGGGGTGGGGGGATTATTTAAAAAATTAACAATTGAAGTAATAAAAAAAGGAAGAACATAGATAAGAACTGTAAAACGTCAAGTGCCAAAAGATTATACGGAATAAATCTTATTTCGTACTCCGTATGTAAGTTACATTTTGGGAATAAAACCTATTCACTCCCGCTAGAGAACTTTCCCAAGTTCTACTCTATTTTGAGCTATTTGAACACTGTTAGGGTCCGTTTGGTTCAAGAGATGTCATATTACTATGAGAATGTCAGATTACTGAGTATGTTAGATTGATAGGAATGCGTTCAATCTTTATCTCATTTGTGTTTGGTTAAGATTAAGTGGGACAGACAAGGGAATATCTCCCTCTTTAAGTCTACTCATAACAATTAGGTTCTGATCAAAGAGCCATGGTCCCTCCTCATCAACCCTAATGACATCCTCCTCATTATAGAACTGGAACACATACCGTCTAGGACCAAATTCAGTTATAGTAACACCATTTTCAGGTTTCCACACAGACGCCATAATATCTCTAAACTGAGAAAAACGTACCGACTTTTCTGATGTAATAGTCCCCACCATGGTCAAATTGTGCTTCGATGAATTCTGCGCCATAGGTTCAACCACAAGGACCTCATCCTCTTCTTCCAGGTCCAACTGCCCGTAGATATTTGCCAGAGCTTCAACCCCAGCAGAAGTGCCATCGTTCCCCCAGTCATTCGCCATGGCTAAACTCCGGCTTGCAAGAACCGAATTTGTTGACAAGTGAAATCGTCGCACGAATACGCTGAAGATCGTTCTCCCAGCACTGTTGACGAGTGCTCCCCTGCTCGCGGTCCGTCTGCTAAAACGCCGAAGATCCGCCATGAAAACTAGAAAAGTAGCATAATGAAAACGCCCAACCTAAACCCTAGCCGCGGCTAGGCCCTCTCCGCGTCTTGTTATTATAAGCATATTCATAACACGTTTTCCTATATCTTGTTCTTGAGAACTTGAATAAATAAAAGGAATGAATTTATTGAGCACATCATGTCATCATGTTATTCATGTCTCCCATACGACCGAGCACACTAGCTTCCAATATCCTCCCTTTCATTCTACTTTGACTATAGTTTATTTATTAATGTATTACGAATTTAATTTTTAAGAAATATTCTTAAATTCTTCTCATTCTAAATTTTCAAAATATGAATTTTTTACTAATAAAGATTGAAAGATATTAATGGTCAAACTCGTGCGTTGTCAAACGTGAAATGTTGACTGTTGCAATTAAAAGGTAACGGATGAAGTATAAGATAAGTTATATAGCTTGTTTATCAACACACTTGAGAGATCGAGAAGAGCAACGCCAATGAGAGAAAGGCATAAGAATCGCCCAACCCACCAGCCCCACACACTAATCAAATAGAGTCTTCAAACGATAAATCACGATATTGCTTAAGCTATTTTTGGTTAGTACTTAGTTAAACTACCTAAAATATGATTTGTATATTCAGAAAGAACAAATCAATCATGTATCGTGCACGAATTAAAAAAGGCCAAAGATCAAATGAATAGCTAAAATGTAATATATTCAAGAATTTTAGAGGTATTTCAAAATTGTATACAATAGTAGGTATGTTCAAACATGAAACATGTGTATTACATCAGTAATCCGTATTATTTAAGCTGGCTGAACTATGACGAGTTGTCAAGCCGTTTCATCGAGTCCGACTAGTCAAGCTTGAAACTAGGCACCGTTACGATCAAACAACATTATTCATTACATCTGCATAGGCAGGCCGTTACAAAGCTGCATTAATATCTAAATTTATACTAACGGATCCTAACAATGATTATTATAATATCAACAACATTTAATACAATTGTCAGCTCCTATCTTTATTGGCTAGCTTGTATTCTTTCTTCTTGACATGTATACGTTACGTCTTGGTCGTTCCGTCATAGTTTCACGGTTTGATCTGAGGATTGGATGGCTCGTCATAATGATTGGTCAAACTAATTAATTCCCTTCTTAATCATATTCATGGCCACATTAATACATAAAAACGTCCTAACGGCCAGGCCAACATTCATTAACTTTCATGACCACCTTTCAAAAAAATCTATTATGACCCGTTCCCATGAATGTAGAGTCAACCCGTCATATGTTTGGTCCAACAGATATAATTTCCCACAGTTTTTGAGAAAAATGTTCAATGCACAACAAATAATCACATTCGGTAAAACTGTCACATTGCCGTTTTTGGGGCTTGAACTTGATATCTCAACCCAAGTGTCTCACTCAATATTCGTTGAGCAGCTTGAGCTACGGTGCAGGTACACTCTTTTCAACAATCGTTTAGCAGCTTGAGCTATAGACTATAGTGCAGGTACACTCTTTTTCTTTTGTTTTTGGGGGATGTCCTTGATATTGAATTTATGTGATTTCTTAAGATTAATAAAGTTTATAGGTTTTAATAGAAATATACTCATTCAATTCTATCATATCCCAATAGAGTTCAATGAATATCATGATAACCTGATTATAAGATACCAAATTTCAATGTACATGTATTCAGTGTTATTTAGGTTGGAGAAAATAAGAATCCACATAAACTCCTGAAAAGAATCATAATAAACCACTGAAAATGAAGATTCTTACAATTTGAACGGAATGCATATATTCATAATTGGAGATACCTAAAATTTTAGAATGAGAACACTTGAAATTCTCCAAAATTTTAAAATTCATGAAACTTTACATCGAAAACACCATGGCTACATATATTCGTTTTCATCTTCTTTATTGTGCTCACAAAGACTAATGTTATATTGTTATTCATTCTTTTCCCCTTTGTGCACCTCTAGCTATTGCTTTCTTCTACCCTTGGACACGTTTTTTTTTCTTTTATTCATTTTTAATTCATTTTTAATTTTATTCCATATTTGCACTTTTTATTCATTTATTCTTGTGATTTTTGTGCATTAGTTTCTATTCTTCTATTTCATGATTATTTTATTTATTTGAGTTTAAAATGTGAATTACTTTGGTAATTAAAAAGATAAAAAATTGTTAAATATGTATACCAATATTCTTGGTTGTTCATAAATTTGTTGAATACTCCGTACTTTCATATAAAAACTAACACATTTATGAGCCATTTGGTAACACTGAAATTGACTGAATCGACTGATTCTGTTGAAATTTATGAATTTCTGCTGGATTGGCTGATTCTGCCGATTTATGAAAAAAAATTATTTAAAATATTTTTTATTAATTAAACAAAGAAAATATTATATGAAAAATAGCTAAAATGATCATCTACAGTAACTTCAGTCAATGCAGTCAGAAAATTAACTGCAACCTTATTTTTTCTTATTACATAATTCAGCACGCGAAATAAAAAATTATGTGTTTGATGAAAAAGCTGATCGATAAGCAAGATAAGTCGGAAAACATGGTCACCAAATGGGCTCTATATATAATAACTATGTCATGTTTCTTTCTTTTTTTTATTATCCTAAAAAAAAATTCTCACTTCTCTTTTTAATCGACGGGAAGCATGTGAATTAGTAGGGGTGGGAAAAACCGAACCGAAACTGACCCTGGGCCGACCCGAATTATGATTCCGGTCCGTTTTTTTTTTTAACCGGCCCGAATTAAAAAAAACCCGGACCGAACCGAAAATTCCAGGCTCATTAACGGGCCTTAAAATCTATCACCCGGCCCGGACCGAAAAAACCCGAAACAATTACTTTTAATATAAAATTAATATAGTATATGAATATAAATAAAATATTTCCTAATATATGATTATAATCACGGTGGATAAAAAAAGATTTAGTAACTTTTAGTGACTACGAATATGTTGAATTTGTTTTGCGTAATGATGACCATGATAATATATTTATAGCAACTCTAGTAACTTTTTGATTTATAAAATTTATTTCGTAATATTTTTAAGAAACCTATATTATTTATATATATACATCTTACATAAAGTATTAAGATAATTATCTTCTTTAAATTTGAATTGTCGGTGATTTTGGAGACTAATATTTGTGTTATTATTTGCAGTTTGTATTTTTGATTAATTTTATTTGAAAATAAGTGTTAAAATATAAAACAATGACATATTTCACGGCCGGGCTTTAACCGGTCCAACCTGAACCCGGACCGAACCCGGGCAACCAAAAACCCGACTCGGACCAAATATAATGGGCTTTGTTCCAGTCCCTAATTTTCATAACCTAAGACCTTCCGGGTAATTTCCGGGTTTAGCAAAAACCCGATTCAAACCGGACCGATCCCATCCCTACGAATTAGGGAGTATAATGAATAAGAATACCGAATAGTAAACATTTATAAAGAATAGGGAGTAGTCAAAATGAGGAACATGCCAACTTTTTATAGACAAAGTATTGCTCCAAAAATGAACCAATATATTGTAATTTGTCCGATGAAAGAAAAGATGCCCTTATTGGAGCAGATGGAAGGAAGATCGATCATCCCACCAGACCCCTGTGTCGTGCATAAGAGATTAATGATATGAAGAGGGACCCGCAAATCAGTGATGCCAAGATGACCACCTGCACAATAACAAAAAAAGGGACTGAAATCACTGAATCAAACACTTACTTCTGTCCAAAGTAGGGTCTAATCACTTGGAGTATGACTCAAATCCACTAATAATACTCCGTACTACATATAACTTCACGTGGGTTAAAAATTGTGCACCGTATGACTTCACGAGTTCTTAATTAAGTTTTTGATTTGACTTCACACATATTAAGAAAATGAATTTGACTTTATTGTGGAGTGCACTGCTTGCACTGTTTGGACATTGTTTGACACTGTTTGACATTGTTTTGATGTAAATAATTTGCCAAATAAGGAAATGTTTGAAAGTATAACTTAATTTTGGTGTTGCCCGAAAAGGAAAGATGAAACTTGTTTCCAGGATGGAGAGAGTATCAAATTCTCATTTTTGTCATGAACATAACAAACTGGTGTTATTAATAGGTTTGAAAATTTTGGTCTGATTTGATCTAATTTAATTTGGTTTGATTCGATTTGTTTAAATTTGATCTAATCTGATTTGATATCAAATAAGTCATAATAGAACCATCCTAAATACTACGTACAATATTTCGAGTATAATACGGAGTATGTTTTAATATTTTGATTGAATATGCAAATAAACTCATCAACACTCTAATTGATACAAAAATATTAATCAATTTTCTTTTATTGAGAACTAAATCTGTCATTTGAGGAATATTTATACTCAACATTATTTATGTTTTGAATATCACGTGTTTTATGTTTTAATTGAACCTGGAAATATATTTAAAAAAGCTCTCTAAAGATGCTGTATTTATGATACATTACTTTGTCATCTTCAAATAACATTATTTTTGAATTGACATTTTCAATTTTTTGGACTTATAATACAATGAGGAACAACATCAAAACTTCTATTCTAGTTAAATAGTAAGAGGTCTTGTCTCGCTAAGACATTTTCAATTTTAAAAAGGCAAGGAAAAGTTTATGTCAATTTTCAAAATAAATAAATTTTAGTTAATTAAAAAAATAGATCCAAAATTTAAAATAACCAATCTTTTTAGCCTGTCGTTTTATAATTCAAAAATTTAAGATTCAAAACAACAATTCTCATTTTGAATCTGAAAATTAAACAAATGAAATTAGCAAAAAACTTAACAGATGAAGGAAACACAAGAGGAGCTTACAACCTTGCCTACAAGTCTACCGCCGCCCAAACCTTCTGTAGGTGGTTGGAGCTAGGGGTGTTCATAAATCGGTTCAAATCGGAAAACTGAATCGGACAAGACCGAAAAACCGGAACCGAACCAAACCGGATGATATCCGGTCCCGTTTTCGGTTTTCAACTATTATAAATCCGAGTTTCCGCTCCGGTTCCGATTTAAAACCGGATTACTTCGGTTTAAACTGGATTAAAACGGTATTGCTATATTTTTAAAATACACTAAAGGATCAAATAGGTACATGAACTAACTTAAAGTGTTCAATTAGTCCCATAGGAGGTTCTGCCCGGCCGTCGCCAATTGGGGAGGTTCCCGGTGGAATTTTTGATGAAATATTTTGAGCATCTTCTTCATTAAGTCTAGTTTACTCATACCAAATTTCAGCTAAAAAATCAACCGGGAAGGAAGTCAAATGATTTTCCGAAATGTGTTGCGCTGTTTAACTGCGCAGTTATCTTCAAAAAATCATTTGACTGTCTTCCTAGTTGAATTTTTAGCGGAAATTTGGTATGGATAAACTAGACTTAATGAAGAAGATGCTAAAAAAAATTGATCAAAAAATTCCACCGGGAACCACCTCAATTGGCGACGGCCGGGCAGAACCTCCTATATAAAGGGCTAATTGAACACTTTAAGTTAGTTCATGTACCTATTTGACCCTTAGCCTTTAAAATATTAATTAATAGTATTAATATAAAATAGTTGTAGAATAACAAAAATAATAATAATAATAATAATAATAATAATAATATAAATAGTAATTGTTTTGATATGTAGTGTATATTGTTCTAATGTTTTATTCATCTATTTATTCTTATTTTCTTGATAATAGTATAAACTAATATCTACTATTTTACGATCAAATTGCTTCAATCTTTGCTCTCTAAGAATAATAAAAGTAATTAAATAAATAATAATAGTAATAGTATTATAGTAATATTACTAGTCACGAATACCCTTATTTTTATTAAATAAAGAAGTATTATTTGCTAGTAAATTAAATTAATAATTTAGAAACCGATTTTCCGGTCCGGTTCCGGTTTTGAACCGGTTAAACCGGTTCAGTTCTGGTTCAAAACCTGAATATATCCGGTCCGGTTTTGGGTTTCTATTTTCTTGCAAATCCGGTTCCGATTCCGGTCCGGTTCCGTCCGGTTTTGAACCGATGCACACCCCTAGCTGGAGCTGGGAAGAAAAGTTAGAAGTGTAGACTCAATTTGAGAGGCCGGAGCAGAATGGGAGGAGAGTGGGGATAGGGAGAAGAACAAGGAGGGTTCTCGTGCGAGAGAAGGGAAAAAAATTTGGAGGAAACTTGGAACGATGTAATAGGAACTGAATTCTGAATAAAAAACATATGGAGAATTTTTGAAAATAAGAGTATAAATAGAACTACTATTTTTTTCAAATATGAGTAAGGATGTTTTTACTTGGACTGTAATTTGTCTCAGACCAGACCAGACCAGACCAGACTTGGATAGTTATAAAAATACAAAGAAACCAGACCTTACCAGACCGGACCAGACCAGATCAAATCAGACCAGACCAACAAATTACAGTCCAAGTAAAAACATCCTAACATGACAGTGTTTAATGTCATCTTAGAGTTATGAATGTCAAAATAAGTGCAACTTTAGAAATCAATATTGACAGTATTTACTATTATTAATGACAATATTTCTCAACTGTGACAGTAACTAGGGACGGAGCCATGATTCGATTGAAGGGGACCAGGGTGAAATAGAAATAATAATATAATTCTTTCATTCCATTGGACTTTGTTTAATTTATGTTAGGTGTAAAATATGAAAATTAAAAATTACACGGTTGAAGTTTGTGCAAATGAGAGTGAAATAAGCAGAAGTGCAGAACTATAGATTCATTGGTTTAAGTGAAAGGTGACAAAGTTTTTGAAACAAATAAAAAACAAAAGCTGACAAAGTACCACATTAGTAGCAAGTAATAGTAGTATTTTATTATAATTTATAAATTATAACATCTTAGTTATTATCTAGAAATTAACCCTTGAAATACTACATAGTATCCGGACTAACTATTCAATGCAAGTAATGAAACAAATCCTAATTATTTAGTACATACGACTACTAAACACTAAAGAATAACACGGTTGGAGGGCAAAAAAAGTAATACTACTAATTAAAAAATGAAATGTTGGGAGGGCCTTGACCCCCGCCCCCAACATAAGCTATAGCCCTGTCCCTGACATTAACGACTTTCCGAAGAAAAACATAGTTGTCATATTTTGGAATTCATAACGTTTTTAGGGAGTGTTTCAGGAACTGGTCTCCCCCAGCTTCTAAAAAACGGATTCTAAGAATAAATTTGAGCATCAAAATGACTTCTTCACTTTCACCCAAACACTCCAACATCTGGTTCTGCTCCAGGGAGCAGAAACAGTTTTTAGAATCAAATCCAAACGTCCACTTATTTCACAAAAACGTATGATGCTATTTTGAAACAATGTTTGATTTGCATTCACGACAACTACTTGATGAATAAATATAATAGACAACAGATGCGATGGAATCATCAATTCTAGGTGCTAATTATTATAAACCACATATAAATTTCTTGAATTGGAAAGTTTGTAAAGCCTTTTGTAACAACCAAGTAAGAAAAATTGCAAAAGACCAAGGGATTAGGATGAAAAGACATACCCATTTGAAGAGGTAGCCGTGATGATCTTTCCAAGGATGGGGGATATTCATGCCGAATATGGCAGCCACCATTGAGTAAACTGTCAAGCAGACCGTACCAGAACTTAAGAACAGCTCCAGCTGCGCCCATCGGTTCCTTCCATAACTTAATTAGAAGGAATAATAAATAATTCCAGATAATTCTTACATATGGAACTCACAATTTCACAATAACTTAGAGCCCGCTTGTAACTCTATTTTTTGACTTATGAGGTTTATAATTCAATTTTTCCACCAAACACGTAATTTTTTATTTCTCACGCTGAATTATGTTATAAAAAATAAGGTTGTAGTTACTTTTCTGGCTGTATTAGCTGAAATTTCCGTAGATGATCATTTTAGCTAATTTTTTATAATTTTTTCTTTATTTTATTAATGAATACGTAGTATATTTTGAATATAATTTTTTCATAAAACAACAGAATCAGTCAATCCAGACAGATTTCATAAAATTCAGCAAAATCAACTGATTCAGCCGATTTTATTATTACCAAACGGGCACTTAATAAATGAATGGTATAGTATAGTACCTGGATGAGCTGATTTCGGTGATTGTCAAGCTGCAACCATAGAATTGAAAGTATTTTTACTTCGTATGAACAATTGAAATTGCTTCACTTATTCTAATTTATGTGAGTTCTATGTATCAAAATTACCTACGAGTATCTTACATACTCCCTTCGTCATCATGTAAGGTCCCCATTAATTTTACCCACATTTTAAGAAATTGGGATTGTTAGGTACTGTTTGGACATTTTGGACACTGTTTGTTATTGTTTGCTTTGTTTTGTTTATCCAAAGGAAATGAGACTTTTATTTAGGAACGGTCTGAAAAGGAAAAAGTGACTTGATTTGATGTAATATCTAGAAAGTCGAAATAAAATTTTATCTTGTATATTTTGTGCAAGTCAAATGACATCTTCTTTTCCATACACATGAGTGTGCAATATCTTATCATACGAGTATTTTTTAAACGTTTACTCGTTTGAGTTACATGCAAGGTGAAAGTGTGAAAGTTTAATCTTAAAGCGTCATTCTTAATATAATTGTAATCGACTTAAAGCAAATTTATGTGTGTTTACCTGTATATTAATATAATCTTCTGTGTCATCGATGTATTCTCGCAACTGCAAAGCAAGAAAGCATAATAATGCACACCTCGTCCATTTCATACATTGAATTGAATTAATTTGTGACTATTACAAACACGTATTATGATAGCACATTTTCCCCCAAATTAGTTTCTCTTAAAATTCTTTTCTGATTAAATAAATTCCGATCACACAATTTTGTTTAGTTAGTGTGTGAAACATGATGAGGGATTATAATGCATATAAACATGATTATATTAGGATTGCATATGTACATACCATTCTCTATACATACCGTTGTTAACTTGTTCATAGTACTCTCTATTTGCACAAAGTAAGCCTGCATATAAGATATACATTCACTAATCAGTAATCACCAAATGTATGGGTTTGAGCAACAGATAAAGCACAGGGACATCTCTCTGGGATTAGGAAGAAAAGGAAACTTCACTTTTTTAATCATACCTTATTTGGTCATTCCTATTGTTAGCTACAAATTCACTCTTGGTAGAGGAATAGACTCCTTGTAACTTTGGTTAATTTTGGATCACTTCTACCACAAAAACCAACCACAGATTTTATTGTGATTGAAGGTCCAGAGAACTAAAAGTGACAGAATCTATAGCCTTATGTTTAGTGCTTTCTTTTTTGTTATTATTGTTTAGATCAGATCAGCAGAGTTAATCGAGATCTCATTATTTGTTAGGAGTAGTTCCAGATCTTATTGTTTGTTCGAGACAATTGTCTATTTTATCCCGCAAATTATGTTCGTGCCCCATTAAATTAGTAGTCCTAGAACTTCACGCATTTGCGTAACTAATAAATTTGTCTATATCAAGACGCTCCCACAACTTAGGGAAAACTGTCAAATAGGTCCTCTAACTTTCATAAAAAGGTCAATTAAGTCATTCTATAGAAGGTTCTGTCCGGCCGTCGCGATTTGGGGCAGTTCCCGGTGGAATTATTTGATGAAATTTTTTGAGCATCTTATTCACCAAGTCTAGTTTACTCATACCAAATTTCAGCTAAAAATTCAATCGGAAACACATTCAAATTAATTCATGAAGATAACTGCGCATTTTTGCTTTCTCGAATTAATTAGAATGCGCTCCCGATTAAATTTTTAGCTGAAATTTGGTATGAGTAAACTAGACTTGATGAATAAGATGCTCAAAAAAATTCATCAAAAAATTCCACCAGGAACCGCCCCAAATCGGGACGACCGGACAGAGTCTCCTATAGAAGGACTTAATTGACTTTTTTATGAAAGTTTGAGGACCTATTTGACAGTTTTCCCTTCTTAAATTGAATAAAATTATTAGTTTTAGGACTCGGATAGCTACGGGACTGAAACAACAAATCTTGCTGTTTGTTCTTTATACTTACTGGTGTTAGATATTCTAACAAATAACTTAAACTAAAGTGCCACTAAAATTGATTGTTCCCCCTCTATTTGGGCTTTTCATGATAATAATATAACCTCAAGAAGCATTTCAAGTTCCTCAACATCAGTTTCACCATGATGAGTTGATCTCCTACTGGTTCTGGACAATTTAGAGCTAATGGTTGGAGAGTCATGGAACAAGTCAGGAACCACATTACAGCTCGTTGGAGAAGAAACTGCTGCTGCTGATTTCCTTGATAAGTAAAGATCTCCCATGTCATCATCTTCTTCAAGAAGTTGCTCAAGTTCATCCCTCACCTTGAATATGTATGAATATAATAATTAAGAAAAGATTCATCAAGAAGCAAAGTTATGCTCAAATAATTCTAAATCAGAAAAAAAAAACGGATTCGCAAATTCAAATTAATTGGTTTTCAAATAGATGATGAAGACGTACTTTCTGAACCCGACTTGTCATTCTTGTCATTGCGCTCTTCAGTTTGCGCACCCGATCCAGATTACTACTACTAATCTGCACATTATTATACGTAGTAACATTTGATTATCATACGAAGTAACTTTTGAGGCCATAAGTATATAATGTTATGAGTTTAATAAAGTTGGTTGGGTTCAATATTTAAAATTTAGTTAATGCATTTCAAGCTACTTTTTGGTCTTTACAATGTGGATCATTGAAGGATCTTGTTTTTATCAATGGAATTGAAAGAAGTATGTATACTCTCTGATTATTGAAGGACATAAATATCGTTAAACTTCTTGATAAGAAACATTCAGATTAGGCTCCACGTACAAAGAGATCGAAGTCCTTCAGATGATTCTTTTTCAAGGATGTATATTAAATTTACAGTTCTATTGAAAAGACTTGGATGTTGTGGTGTAAAAATAGAAGTATTATGTTTTTCATTCCCCTAGAAGTAATTATTGAGAAACACTATTAATTGTGATATGAAAACAATGTGAAACTCCAAAACAGAAACATTGTTTATTCACTAAATAAGATTAATTACCGTTTAGAAAATATTGTCATTTGTAAAAAGTAAAGAAAATGACTACATTGCAATTTGCGGAATAAATTATAGGTTAAAAGTGCATTTTTTCTTTTTTCTTTTTGTACGTTATTATATACCACATTGTAGGGATGACATATATAACCATCAAAGATAGAAAAAATCCTACAATTTAAAAAACGCATGACTACAATTAAAAAAACTTCTACCAAAATATCTCACACCGACATATGAAATACCTTTGCAGTTAATACGTCTAAAGCAGGGTAAGCTGCAGTCTCCAAGTCCCTTGTTTGTGTGTCAAGAAAGCTGCATATACCTTCTAGAGCTACTTCTAAGGCTTGAAACTCAAAAGGGAACTCTACATTTTATTCATGATATTGCAATATCAAGTCAAGTTCATGTGTTAGCTATGAAGATCACTCATGAACAAAATCTGCCAACATAAATTAATAGCACAAATGTAAGTGGTATGTTTTATACCGGTTTGCTCAACATCAGTTTCTTCACTAGTTCTTAACCCCGGTTGTGACCCGTCATCGTCGTCCCTTTCTGCTAGACCGTTAGCGAGGGGCAACCTTCTTTGAAGTTCTTCAACAATAGGTATAACATTGTCATCCTGTGGGTCACGAAGTAAAACCTATTCCCAACCCATTTGGTTTAGTCACAAACGTCAACTATCGGGACAAATTAGGTGACGAATAATGTACACATTTATAAACTACACGACTAAGTATGCAATTTTCTCTACGATTTTAAAGAATTAATTTAAAGATCAACAAGTTAAATGGAATTTAGGGAATGAAAAGAAAATGGCAAACAAATTGTTTTTTTATACTAGTATTTGATTTTGAATCTTCAAATTTAAAGAAAAAATAATTTAAACGAATAAAAATACCTTCAGAGTTATTAATATATACTCCGTAATAGAATCAAATGAATACGTAAATATGAATTTGAAATTAAGAACAAATTTATTGAACTTGAACAAATGTTTAATTCCCCCACTATTTGTACGTTGTATACTGATCTCTATCTTTACTTTCTTTAGCATTTTCGCAACTCCAAATGGATCATTTAAATGTGATTTTAGATTTTTAGAGAGAGAAAACTCATAAAACTATGAATTCAGACTATAAAAGAAAAACTAGTTGCTCATTTTTCCTAGTTTTTATATTTATGTATCAAGAAATGTTAGATGGCTACCTCCGCTCTGCTAATTGATATAAGGCAATTAAACGAAACCCATATATATATATATATATTTAAAAAACTAAAATAATTGTGGTTGATATATATATGGAGTACTAAATTTGCAAAATATGAATTAATGAATGAATTTAAATCAGACAAATATTACCATAGTACTTCATTATTCTATGTGTTTTAATTTGCAGAGGTACATATGAATTTGCAAAATTCGCAACATATTTTTTCAGAGGTATTTTATTATTTGCAACACTCTCATATTTTGGTAAGTCTTCTATCTATAAATACTACTAGAGTTTTACTGAAAATTTACAACTCCTAATAGAATGTTTTCTTTTGGACTGTTTTCAGTCTCAGACCAGACCAGATCAGACCATACTTGATTTTCATAGTTATAAAATACACAGAGACCAAACGTTTAGCAGACCAGACCAGACCAGTTCAGACCAGACCTGACCAGATCAGACCAGATCAAACCAGCAAATTTCAATCCAAAACAAAACATCTTTAGTTGTCCTATTGCCTTTAACCTTTAAAGTGACAAATTCACTTTTATATCTAAAATCACCATTTTTACTTTTTATTTTATATATTGGTCAAACTTGACAAACTCCAACGCGGAAAAAAAATACATAAATGTTCTTACTTTTTCTACCATGTCACATATGTTCACACTGTCAAATTTCTTTTCCAACGGATGGGAGTATTATTTATATTTTTCAACAATATTTTGGGATCCTTGTTATTTACTCTTAAACTATCTGAAAACATTATGGATTCAAGTAAAAAACTAGAAGGAAAGAATTAGACAAACATAGTGGTGCTAATAAAGATGAAACAAAAGATAGTAAAAACTTAGCTTAGTTGGAAGAGTTTGACTTTTATATTATTCATATAATTTATTATTTATTCATTTTATTCAATAATGTATTGAAAAATGATTGAAAAATGATACGAGTATTATGTGAAATATTTTTAGATTTCCTTACATCTAAATTTTTACAAACATTATTTTATATTTCTCACGTCCCTAAATAAACATCTCGCTTTCCTTTTCGACTGTTCTTAAAAAAACCTTGGGGTTAGGTCAAGAATAATACCATTTAAAAGAGATTTGACAAAAATAGGACCTTTTTTAATAGTTTCCAAAAAAGAGACCATTAATGTGTAACGTTTTAAAAAATGATCCGTATGCCCCCAGTTGCCTGCTAGTCAACACTCAATACACCACTCCGTATATATACATATTAATCATCATTCCTCCAGATTTGTTTTTGTGGGATTTCATAACAGTGACTAAAATGAACAGTGACCAAACCAATCCGACCATGACCAACCCGACCATGACCAATGCGACCATGATCAAATCCGACCATGACCAACCCGACCATGACCAATCCGACCATGACCAATGAGACCATGACTAAACCGACCATGACCAATTCGACCATGACCAATTCGACCATGACCAAAACGGCCGTGACCAATCCGATCATGACCAATTCGACCAGTGACCAACCCAACTAATGACCATGACCAATTCAACCAACGCCGACACTGCCACCTCGACCACCATCACCCCCAACCACTGCATTGACCACTGCTGCCGTCCGACAGGGATCGACGCCACCACTCGGCGGTAACAGCCCACCACCCATCACACACCAGTCCCTTCCCCCCCAGGAGCACCCAACCCCCTCCAACACCCTTCCCCAGCCCCCTAACAGCACCCAGCCCCCTCCAACACCCAACCCCCAGAAGCACTCAGCCCCCTCCAACACCCTCCCCAACCCCCCAGCAGCACCCAACCCCCTCCAACACCCCCCAGCCCCCCAACAGCACCCAGCCCCCTCCAACACCCTCCCCCAGCCCCCCAGAAGCATACTCCTCAGCAGCCCCCAGCCCCCCAGAAGCACACTCCTCAGCAGCACCCAACCCCCTCCAACACCCTCCCCCAGCCCCCAACAGCACCCATCCCCCTCCAACACCCTCCCTCAGCCCCCAGCAACACCCAGCCCCCTCCAACACCCTCCCCCAACCCCTCAGCAGCACCCATCCCCCTCCAACACCCTCCCCCAGCCCCCCAGCAGCACCCAACCCCGTCCAACACCCTCCTCCAGCCCCCAGCCCCCCAGCACCTCCCCCAACCTCTAGCAACCCACAGCCCCCCTCCAACACCCTCACCCAGACCCCTGCAGCCTTACAGCACCCTCCCCGAGCACCCCCTCCAACCCCCTGCGCCAACAGCCCCCATTCAGCACTCTACCTAGCCTTTCCCTTTCACGAGCGGTGCAAACACGCCTCTTCAACCTTCCCCACCGCCGCACCCTACCCGCCAACTCTAGCCGTCGCCAACATTAGCTTCGCTATTCTCAGCCTCTCTCCAATTGCTTGAACTCCTATCTCCCTAAATAAAAAATTATATATCTACGCAACAACAATTTGGTCAGACTCAAGGTGGAAGACAGATCTCTACCAGCCACCAAAACTCACCGTCGTTGAGCTAGCAGATGGAAGACCGAGCTCGATCCGCCACTGTAACGCCGGCATTGCAGCGCCTTCGATGTCGCTGGTGCTGGCCGTCTCCGGTGTCTCTGCCTCCATTGTTGCCGGCTACCTCTTCGTCTGTTGTAGAAACGGAAGTGGTCGAATGGCGATGGAGCCGAGATTTCGTCCACAAGTCTCTTTCTTTCATCCGTAGCGAAAGTGGTCATGGCGAAGGAGCCGAGATTTTGTCTGCAGGTCTCTTTCATCCGTACGTTAAGATTTCGTCCGCAAGCCTCTTTTTTGTCCATTTCAAAATAGGTCCTACTTTTGGAAAGTGAAAAGTCCTGAGTCTTATTTTAGCCTTTATTTCAAAAATCTTTCCTTATTTGGTAAACAAAATATTGTCAAACAGTCTCCAAACAGTGACAAATAGTGTCAGAAGGGACACCGTGCCTCCGACTTTCTGGGTCCGTCACTGAGTGTCACTTTCTTAAATTGTGCGAAACAAAGAGACACTTTTAATAGAGACCGAAGTACTGATTTTGTAAATTTAATTAAATATATTATGTATCAAAGTTGTGACATTTAACAAGTCCGAAAGTCAAATCACTACAGTTAGTAGTTAAGAAGAAAGCATGTACTTAGTACTCTGTAGCCAATATGGGCATTCTAATCATGCTATACTATTTGTAAGCAATGTAATCTAGCTAGATGTGGAGGTCAATGTTGGTCGGGTCTGGGATACAGAGAGCATTTATTGCTTTGTCAATGTGCTTTCAAACATAAAAAAGGGGTAAAAAAAATAAGAACCAGTCTCCCCGCCACTAATGATAGGTGCGATATGATAATAACTACAGTACACATTATTTGTACTAGCTTCACACATTTTAATTTTATTTGAATCAAACATTTGGCATAAAATCACCAATAACTTTTACTCCGTACATTTTAATTTCATACTTCGTATAAATTAGGCGTGATACACACAAGTTGCTCCCGAATTTCAACAAAAACACATTACTTTCTCAATGTGTTTTCATGTAAAAAGAATGGAAAATTATGAGTGTATATGTTTTTATATGCTTTTTGTGTACACTCCTTATTTTATTCGTGTATTCAGACAATTTGTGTACATGGACATGTATAAGAAGTGTATAAAAATGTACACCAAACAGTCCTATAAAAGAATAAGTAGAGTCTCCCCACCACTAATGATAGGTGAGATATGATAATAATACCAGAAAGACTATTCCGAGTTGAGGCGCTAGTCAGTGAGAGTGATTACCTCTTCAGAAGTTATTATAGCTTTGATATGCTGCAGAAAGGATGAATTACAGTTCATTCAGATTAGAATAAGAAGAAGAAAGAATGACCTTTTCAATTAGAATCTGATGTGACTGACCTCCAAGTTGAGAACAATCACTTTTTCTCTGCCAAGAATAGCAGAGGGATAGGAGAGGAGAGGGTCAAGAATGCGCAGATCCCGGGAGTGAATGGGAACCCTTTTCATGATTCCATACTTATCCAAATCCACAACTGCGCTTTCCCCATTCTTGTCAAACACAGCCCAGCTTCTTGACACTACAGAGCTTTTCATCTTCTGTGTCTTCTCCTCAGCATTCACCAAAGTTTCAATCTTCAGGCAATTTGAGTTGAAAATATATGCCAGTTTCTGGATCTTCTTCTCTGTTTATTCTATTCTACTGCAAATGAGCAGATAGTTCAAATGCAAGGACTGATGGGGTGGGAGCAATTATTTGTGAAAGAGACAGAGAGAGTTAGGTGAGTGGTAGCTTTGAGGAGGTTGTATGATGTTGTTGCAGGCTGGAGTTTGTAAGTATATATCCAACCCATACAGATTGACCAATTTTGAATCAAGAGGAGATTAATAATGTGATTAAAATTTGTGTAGAGGAGAGAATTAGCATAGAGGGGAGTAATAATGTGAACTAAACCTTTATTAATTTAAAAAGAAATTTAAATATCAGAAAAGGAAAATATGCATTGTTTTTGGTAGAGAGGGAGGGAGTATGCAGTATGATTGGTTGGTTAGACAGATGGTGATGTTTGTTTTCTGGTGCTGTCAATGACTCATGTGCTCTATGTCCTACGTGTGTATGGACATATCTTAAAAGAAAAACATCTTACCTTAACCGTTAAAAAGCAAGCAATTAAATGAATGAGGGAAAAGTAAAAACTAAAAAGTAGAGTGTAAATCAGCTTTACCATCAGTTAAAAAATAAAAATACACTCCGTAATATTTTCTTATGAATTATGAAAACATTATATTAAGATATATTTTATTGATAAAATAACGAAAAATATATATTACCTCCATTCCTAAAAATCCTTCTCGGTTTGACTTGACACGTTTATTAAGAAAGTGGAATAAAGTGAAAATGTATGATTGTGGTTGCGTTAGAAAAATGTAAAAAATGAATATGAGCCACACAAATTGTCCAAAAAAAGAAAGTGAGAAGTATTTTTGGGAACGACCCAAAAAGGAAAGTAAGAAGTATTTTTGGGAACGCAAGGAATATATGAAAAATAGTTAAATAATCTTTTATAGTAAATTTAGTCAATTCTATCATGAAAATAACTTCAGAGATTGTTTGGAACTGATTATGTTTCTGTTTTTTTTGTGAAAGCAAAAACAGAATCATAATCAATTTTTTAGAAGCTGGTCTTCCTCATCTTCTAAAAAACTGTTTCTAGAAGTAATATGGAATTCCCAGAAGTATTTCTGCACTTTCACTTAAATATTCCAATATCTACTTCTGCTCCCTAAAGGAGCATAATCAGATCCAAACACCTCCTTAACCTCACTTATTTTGATTTATTACATATCAACGCGAAATTAAAAGTTACTCCCTCTGTCCCACTATGACTGCCTCATTTTATCTTTTTGGCCCGTCCCACTAAAATTATCCGATACTAAATTTGATAAAATTTGTGTGGCTCTATATGATTCAAACAGACCTGACTAAAGGAGTGTTTGCAGTTGCTTAAAAAAGCGTTTTTCAGCTTTTGGCTTAAAAAAAGCTTAAAAGAGTGTTTTCAAATGACTGTTTCTGCTTAAATTAATTACTTAAAACCTAAAAGCAGGAAGCAGATGGAAGAGTGCTTTAAACTGCTTTTCACTTTTTCTATTACACAAAAAGTACTTATTTTATCAAACACTACTAACTTTTACTTTTTCAGAATCACTTTTTTCTCAAACACTACCAACTTTTATTATTAAATTCTTTCTCCAAAATCACTTTAAAAAATCGCTTTTTTAAAGTAGAAGCAATTGCAAACACCCCCTGAATCAAACTAGACTTTAACAGTCTAGACTAGATCAGATTTTAACAGTTATAAAATATACAAAGCACATACATCTTTTAAGGTTTTAGACCAGATCAAACCTATTGAGATCATGGGAGATAAGACTTAAATAGAGAGATCACATTCTAAATAAAAACATGTGTAATTTTGGCATTGCCTATTCACTTGCACTTTGCCACTTTCAATTCAAATCCCCCTCCAAAAGAGTTGTACTTCTGTAGTTCTGTTAGCCCCACAGGAAAATATAAATTCCCGAAAAAGGCGATTAAAGAAAAAAATTAAACAACTTCCTTTTTTGAACGGAATCTCGTCTCTTGCTTGCTTGAACATGCGAACATGGCACTTCTCTAGCTCCGTCTTCATCGCTTTCAACATTCCAATCAAATCTATTCATTCTAGCTGTTGAAATCACTCAAACTCCGTTGCCTACCGAATAGGAAAAAACCCTAGTCAGGCAGACGCAGAGAGTGGTCTTAAACAGTTATATGTACATGATCGGTATGCAATTGGACTTGCAGTGTGGATGCTTAAAACCACTAGTTTGCTAAACTCAATTGAGATTTAGGATTATACTTGTGCGCCTTTCGTAGATGTAAAATGAGGAAATTCCATCGACGCACGAGGATTTTCATCCTCTTCTTGCTCGCCGTCTCTGTTGGCGTTCCTATCTTCGTCCTACATCACAGGATAAGAAGATTTCATGTTCGTGGTCGGTATCATTTCCAGAATTCCAGTGTTTAATTTTCACTTCTTAAGCTTGTGATCGAACAGTATCCGTTTTGGCCTTGTTAATTCTGATTCTTTTCATATTTGACTGGGCGCAGAGTCCGGAGAATTTGTCGAAGATTTATCGATTATTGTAAGTTTTTATCATCCTGAGTAGGTTTACATTATTTTATTCATTGGTGTATGAACAAATAGGCCAGATGATTGGTACTTCTCTTAGTTTTATTTGTTTTTTTTATGGTGAAATAAGTAAATACTAAGTATAATTTGTTTATCTGATTTGAGGAATTGAGTTCACATTTTATTCTTAATTTTGTTCTGAATCATGAACACAATACGTCTACGTCTGTTCTTTGGGCTTACCTCTAGAAATCTAGAGCGGTGACCTTGAAAGGCCTTAAGATTCTTGGGTTTCCTTTTCTCTTCATTCATGATCACACTATTTTTGCATATGTACCCTTTCAGTGTTTTTCGAGAAAAGAATAGTATTCTTACATCATTGACTCAACACTTGACCTTTTCATGATTCAGAAGCATAGGATAGACGCTTATGCCTCCCGTGCAATGGAGGAGGTAATATAAATTTATAAGTTTGGTTTGGATGTGCATGTGATTACTGGGCATTGTTACTTATTTACTTATTTCGATGAACTTTTTGATATGGCATAGGAAGAAGCAGAAGATGTGAAAGAGCCACACCGGGCTGTTTACAAAGATGACAAGTTTAGGACCAATCCTGTAATTGAGATTAATAGGTCTGGTCAGCCCAAGAGAACAATCAATTCAACCTCAGGAGAAAACGGTGTGTGGTAGTCCAATATCATTATAGAGTACATAGTTTTCTTCTTTTTATATTATCAATCCATCCTTGCCCACTCAGTTGTTAACTTGTTTCAGGAAACATGCAAGTTATTGAAAAAGAGAATCAACACAGTCAGAATGAGGGAGTAGAACAGAAATCAAAGGGAAATGTATGAATTCAAACTGCCTAAAATTATACTCATAATCTTGTGCAATATAGATGGGGAGCCTTGACGCACTTGTTCCTTACATCCTTAATTCCTTACACCGACATTCTCCTAAGCACTGTATTGGTAGTTCCCAGGGTGAAGCGTACTTTAGCTCTGTTGAGAAGCCATCTTTCTGAACCTTTAGAAGCTTAAATATATACATGTTTTTCCTTTATCCGTAGACTATAATAGGTGTGTATCATACATTCGATTTCACTTTCAGATGAGATGCTGAATTTTGATTTTTTGTTGTAATTGATGGCTGATGGTTAGGATTCTTATGTGCCTTTTCTTGACTAGCATATAGTGGCAGTGTATTTCTTTCCTACATGTAAGAGTTCAAGTTGTCTAACTTTTGTTGAACTAATACCCTGTGTGACTATTGCTGAATACACTAGTGACTGGATTTGAAGTCTTTAAAATCAAAGTGAAAAAACAATTGTATTTATTACTTAGTATTTATTGCACTTGCTATGGTGGTAGGGATATTGATCAGAGGATACAATATGTTTTTTAGTTTTGATAATTAAGATTCAAGATCTGGGTTGTTTTAATGGGATACACTTATTTTGAATTCTTTTTATCGGCTCTCCCAGCAGTTTATTTGGTAAATACTCACAGCAGTTTATTTGGTAAATATTGTCAACTTATCCATTCCTTTGGCTCTCAAATTTAAAATTGATTACCAACTTTGTTGTATATGGTTTAATTGCAGGAACAGTATGAGTCAATAACGTATCAACATGATAATAGTGGGAAGTCCCATTCCCAGAAGCCATCGGATATGAAGTTAAAGGAGATGAAAGATCAGCTTATTAGAGCAAGGTTATATCTGAGTTTTACTCCACAAGGTAGCAAATCTCATTTTGTGAAAGAGATGAAGCTGCGAGTCAAAGATCTGGAAAGAGCTATACGCGACAGTACTAAGGATTCAGATTTGTCGCGGAAGTAAGATATAATATTAGGTCCTTTCTCCTATGTGCTCGTATTTAAGTGTATCAGATAGGTTAGGGTATCCTACTTATGTTAGTGACAGACTGATAGTTGACCCTCCTTTACCGTAGCATAAACTCTATATTTGGCCTAGTTACTCCATATTCTTACAAGGTCTGGTCCATGATGATCTTAGTACAATGTTATTTAAGTGCTTGGTTTCTTGCATAATTCAATGGCGATTATTTTAGTTCTCATGAATAATGGTCTCCTGGTAATTAATTTGTTCTCTGGATTCCATTAACAAAATTTTCCACTTGTGGTCCTTCCGACCACGTTTCTGGCGAAAGTCTTTACATTTTTTGGCTGATGTTAGGCGCATGGGTGTCTGGAAAGGATAAAAATGGATATGTCCATAGTCGTGAGCGGATAATGAAAATAATAAGACTAGTGGACCAAAATGCAAGGAATGACCTAATAGTTGAGGGAGCAAAAATAAAAGTTTTTCATTCAACAATTAATAAGTTGCAATTTTCATCTACAAATTAGTTTGCCTTTTTTCAGGGCTTTGCAGAAGATGAAAGCGATGGAAATGACCTTAACAAAGGCTAGCCATGTCTTCCCTGAATGCCCACCTATGGTGAAAAAACTTCGTGCAATGACAGATACTACTGAACAGCAAGTCAAAGCACATAGGAATTATGTTGGCTTTCTTCTACGGCAAGCTGAAAGAGCTACACCTAAGGGCCTGCATTGCCTCTCCATGCGATTGACTGCTGAATACTTCTCCCTCATGCCCAATGAGAGAGAACTCCCTAACCAACATAAGCTGAATCATTCAGATCGATATCACTTTGCTCTATTTTCTGACAACATTTTGGCATGTTCTGTTGTTGTCAACTCAACCATTTCATCTGCTAAGGTATGTTTGTGTTTACTTCATCTCTAGGTGGCTTTGTAATGATATAGGGATTAAATTGGTCATTTTCTTATTGCATATCATTTTACTTGGGCATGCCTTTTTAGTCAAAAGACTGAGGGTTCCAAGAAAGAAGTGTTTGTAAATAATACTACAT